TTTTCCGAAGCGGTAAAATCAAACAGATATTCCTACGGTGAACAGATAGAAATTCAAAACCACATATCTTCACATAATGGCATACAAAACCATGCTAAACACATGACCATAACAACTTAAGGACCAATTAGCATAATACAGAACAGGGATGTCACATAAAGGTAGCCTCAAACTCGGCCACCGGTGTGTTAAACTGCTTGAACTTCAAAAACTACTCTCTCAACTTCTCCCTAATAGTGGGAGGCAAAAACTTGTCATGGAAGGCGTTGACAAAAGCCTCCCAAGTCACCCCGATATGCCCACACACATACTTTCACCACTGACCCGCATCTCCCTTAAGCTGGAACGATGCTAAGGTCACTCTCACTCCATCATTCTCGATGCCAAGCATCTTGAACGTCTTCACTATCTACTTTAGCCACTTATCCATCTTCAATGGCTCCTTCAGATCCCCCAAAAACTCATTCGAATTAGACCGGAAGAACTTCCTCTTAAAAAAAGACAGCCCTGTCTCAGCAACATGGGCCTGTACTTGATTCTCAGCTCTAAGAATGTCCATGGATTCCCACAAAGCTCTGACCATCTTACGAGTTAAAGCACCTATGGCCTGCTGACTAACTAGTTCGGCCACATTAACCTGACCAACCCCTTCCTTTTGTGCCAGAATATCATTCGGTAACAGCACCTCCTGCCATCTAGGCCTACCATGCCTACCACCACTATGTCTATGTCCTGACATCCTAATGAAGGTAATACAAGATATTAGCACATTTACAAATGTGCCAAACTAACTCACTCATGTCCTAATGTGATGGACAACAACTAATTCACTCCACCTAAACACATAGTTACATAAACGCTTATGAATTTCCTTTCTAGATAATAATCGTCCTGTGACATTGCCAGAGTTCCAGTTAGAAGTAGCAGTGATCAAGTGCTCTTCTAACAGGACTTCTAGAAACTCATAGACCCAATCAATATTTTAGAAATTAAATTACATACCCACTTAGTCACATAAGCATGTTATCACAAAGCATACCAGGTTATTTCTAATATCTTCTAGCAAGAAAACCCATTATGGTAATAACTACTTCCTACGATCCCAAAGTGTTCAAACACGGTAGCTTTGACACCAAATTGTAGCGCTCTGAAATAATAACCATTATTTATCCCTTGACAATTATTAAATAACAATGCATTTCTGTACATAATATCATTCCATTCATACGATTCCATATTTTTACAAAAGTGTAACACATGCAGTAATACATTCCTAAGTCCTCACCCTGAATCTATAGCATGTGTCATAAGCAAAAGATATAAAATAAGAGTTAAATAGATAAATGAATGCCTTAATGGCTACAACTTTCCAAATTGATGCTTGGTTACAACAAAAGTGAGTTTGAAACTCAATACAAGTAAAGCCCTAGGTCTGTACAAATAAATACAACAAAAACAAAACAAGAAGCTCTCGGCTTTATGTCCACCCAAGCTACGGCCTTGGCGAAGGCATATCATCAGCACCTAAAAATAGTTTTTCACATAGGGTGAGCCAAAGCCCAGTAAAGATACTCTAACATAGTGTATGAATCTTAACAGAGTTATAAGATGAATGTTTATGCAATGCTCATGTCAAAACATTTTATATCTCTTTCCAAAACCATGCAATGCAAAGTTTATATCACAGTTCATAAAATCATTTCCTTTACAATAGAAAATAGGGTAGTAGATACAACTCTGGGAATCTCTAGGATGTGTCAGCAAGCAGGCTACAAGCACTACCATTTGTCATTTTTACCGATACTAACTGGAAGGCTCGGCACCTATTCGCGCAGGTTTCTAGACTTTCACCAAGGACGCACAGGCCAACTTAATACCACAACTACACTCCCTACCCAGATTCACCAAGGTATTCACCCTTTTTTTCTCAAAACAATAAACATTTTCAATGTGTTGAATATGTTACAATGTTCAATGCAAATGGATGAGAAGTTAGTTTCAATTCACATAATTCTTATGCAATTTCTATAACAATCATAACTATCCTCCATCGATAACCCAAAATAGATATCTCTAAATAGATTCTAATAATGATATACTTTCCAACGTTTCAAGATAGGAGTGATAATTTATATCCAACTCTACCACCATCATCATCGTCATCATTCCAATTTCATAAAACCAACATCAATCCCATTTTCTCTTTACAAAATCCAACATTCACATTTTAGGGCAAAATCTCATTTCTTTGAAAATTAATTTCAAGGATGAAAATCCACTATTTTATCACAACTCAACCATATTTATAATTCCATAATCCTTTTCAAGAACCCATTTGAAAATCCCTCTTTTGATTTCAAACCAAAACCCTAAATTTGTTCAAAAATTTTCCAATATCAAGATTTCTTTAAAAAGACAGATAAATAAGTTAAAAATCATACTAAAGTGCGGAGAAATCCCTACCTCAAAGCTAGAAGACGAGAGAGAGAGAGAGATGAGAATCCTCAACAAAGCCAAAAACTAACTTTACTCCGATTAGAATGAAGCTTTAGGTGGGCTCTACTCTTTTATTAAAGGGACTAGGGTGAGGAAATGTACGAATCAAGAGTATTTGGGTCAAATGTTCAAGAACTAGAGAGAGAGTGTGTAGATCTAAAGTTTGAAATGTTTAGAGAAAGAGAGATATGAAAAAGTGACTCAAAAAGTGACTTTTCAGAACTGATATGTGCGCAGACTGCTCGAGCGACCAAAACACCGCTCGAGCGAACAGAGTACCACTTGAGCGCACAATGACATACTCTCAAAAGTTTTGCAGACAAAGGCTAACCGCTCGACTGTAAGAAGGACTGCTCAAGCGCAAGAAGGATCGCTCGAACTAAAGACACCACTCTCCCAGTAGTTTTGCAAGTCTGCAAAAGTACTGAGAGTTCTAAAAGACTGCTAGAACGCAAGAAGCACTGCTCGAGCCAAGACCGCTCAAGCATAAGAAACACCGCTCGAGTGAAGAATGCCATACTCCCAGTAGTTTTGCAGACCTGCAAAAGTACTGGAAGTTCTCAAAGTTTGCTCGAGTGCAAGAAAGTTTGCTCGAGTGCAAGAAAGTTCGCTTGAGCAAACAAGCCAAAATCTGGACAGCAACAGTTTTGAAAAACTAACTCCCAACTTGTTTCAAATACAACCAAGACATTCCAATGACCAATCTCAACAAGAAATAAGACGGAGGAAGACATGAACAACTATCAAGACAAGAAAGCCTGAATCTAAAACAATGAACAAGTCAAGTTCAAACCAGAATCGTTATACACTAGATATCCCCATGGCATCTTATTATGATCTAGTCAATTAGTCATGAGTCATTACCAAGTTAGACCTAAGGCTTTACACTTGTTTTCCAGAACTCACACATTAGGATGAGTGTGGGTAGTTCTCTAGTAATTCTACTTCATTGTTGGAAATTATTCAAAGACATCAATGGAGACCCGTGATTTACTCATATAATCTATGGATTCGGTTTGAGCGTAAAAGATATACCCGTATCCGTTTGTTTCCGCTATGTATTATTTCTTATTTTTCCTACAGTTTGATTACTCTGGTCATTTAATAAATTTAGTAAAGTTATTCGATATTAACAGTGTTGATTTGACTAAGTGTCATGGAACTACTTCGTATATGGATCGAGTAGACCTTGCCAATATTGCCTGAACTAATAAGTCCGGATAAGCGATTGTATTTGGGTGAGGTAAGGGAGGTCGTTCACTGGTCATATATTAAGGAAGACCAAATATTTGGTCATGTTCAAATTATCGTATATTGAATTGAATTATTTATGTTATGTCAAAAATTATTGGACCACCATTGATTTAGTCTTATTATTCATATCGTATTGTATACTTGTCGAGTTAATTTATATTTTAGGTGTAGAGTAAATTTAGTGGCGATCAGAGTTGATGCATTAAAGGGATTAATTGAATTGGAGATTTTGGACACATTACTGTGACATTATTTTTAAAAATATTTGTATATATAATTTTTTTAAACGAATTATATATTAGAGATTTATTTAATTTAATATCAATTTAGAAGTTAGGGCGCTACAAATAGAGCCTCCCAAATTTAACGCCATCTAAAAAATAAATGATAAAAATGGAGAATCTTAATAATGTTTAAAAATAAAATAAAATAAAAAGATTAATATAATTTTAAAAACCACATGAATAGTCGATTTAATTACGCTGACCGTTAACCCAGGAAAAAAACTACTCCAACTGGGACCGACCGAGCATATTTTGGAAATATAAATTAAGTGAGATACATTTTTTAACACTTTTAATTATGATTTAAGTGGGATAAATTTTTGAACACTTTTAATTATAATTTATTTTAAAAAGTTGGTTAAAAATTAATTTTTAATATTTTTTATTTTTTTTAAAAAAATATACTAAAAAATAGAGAAAAATGTGATTCAAAAAACTTACAAGATGTATTGTCAAATAGGCCTATAAGTGAATTTTAGGTTAAGGGTCATGGGAGATTATTCGGTAATCGAGGATGACATCACATAGTATTCCATAATAATATAATTGATAGAGAAAATAAAATATTAATTATTTTAATTGAGTGATTAAATGATATGAGGGACATGGTGGAAGGTAATTGGTGAGACAATATCATATGAGTAAATAATTTTCCTAAAACTAATAAATAAGTGAGTAATTATTTAATAATTCAGGAGTATAAACACGTTGGTATTTTATAATATTGAGATTAGTAGAGAATGTGAGCTATGGAGTACTGTATTAAGTAATTAAAGAACATAATGAGACAGGATAAATTATAATTAATTAGTATAACATAATGAGACATGATAAATTATGATTAATTAGTATATATTTTTGATTTTTTTATAAAAAGATCCGTAGAAAATAGAGTGGGGGTGCGGTAAAAGTAAAAAAATTAAACAAATATAAAAACGTATGCTAATATAATGCCTACTTTCCTGCAAAAGTTTCTCCGGAAACAAACACTCCCCCTGCAAGTAAAACCAGAAAAATCCTGAACCCGAATATACAATTCCTTGTATACTTTGTTTGTTTGTCGTTCGTAGTCTGATAGAGAGAGATGATGGAGGAAGTAGAGAAATATTCAGCAGCTGCAGAGGAAGCAACCAACAACGACGATGGCGAAGAAGCGGGGGAAGGAGAGATCGTGTCGGAGTCGAAGTCCGGCAAGGCCGTAGTCGATGAAGAACAACAACACCCACTGGAACACTCGTGGACGTTCTGGTTCAACAATCCCTCCGCCAAGTCCAAGCAAGCCACTTGGGGCAGTTCCATTCGCCCCATCTACACCTTCTCTACCGTCGAACAGTTCTGGAGGTATATATATATATATATATTGATTCTATATATGTGTTCTCGTAGATTCATATGTTCTGCCTGCTCTCCATTCTGAGAAAATTCAGGGATGTGGAAAGAAAATAAACATTACGTATTTGAAGCTTGTGTTTTTCAAGAAATTTAAACCAAATTAAGGCAATCAATTGCATGAATTGTGAAATTAGGGTTCCAAGATTTTTCTTTTATGTTCTTTTTCTGGCGTTTTCTTAGGTTGCGTTTGATTAGGAATTTACGATGAAAATGGAGTAACGGGCAGGAAAGAGGGAATGAAATGAAAGTTTTGCTGCGCTTGTTTAGCATGCAAGAAAATCAAATTTCTTTGTACAATACATATCACCATTGTAATGTAGCTTTCTTAAAATAAATATAGGAATTTTTTTTTTCTTGTTAAACTATGCAGCTGTTATAACTGTTCTCAGAAAAATTGCATCTCAAGCAATACATACTAGCAGATGAGTTTTCTTCTCACCCTCTTTTCTTTCACTTTTCTTGCTATCACTTCCATTTTCCATCATTTTTTTTCATTCTAGTCAAACGGACTTTAGGAATCTGACAGATCAATTTGGATTTTCTTGTCCCATTTTTATTTATTTATATATTTATTTATTTTCCAGCTTACACGATATGGTTTATAAGGTTACATGGGTTTGCTAGGAAGATGGTTTGGGCTATGGTGTGGTCATCTAGAATTTGGATTAGCCTAATTTTATTGATCTTGTTGATGATATGTGGACTATGCATTTCAATTTATTTATTTGTTTATTTTTCCCTTTGTACCTCTAATGGCAGAATTACTCGTGGTCTAATAACTGATGACAATTAGTTTGTTAACATAATCTCCTATGATTATGTAATTGATTGGAAGTGACAGTGATTTTCATTTCCATCAAGCTAATGGGGTGTTGTAGTGTTTGCTTGTTGCTTATAAGCTAATGTCTGTGTTATCTTTGTTGTTGTTGTTGCTATCAATCCCTAGATTCTTTTGTTTGTCTTAAGAGGTTGCTGCTAAAATTTACTATTTCTGCAGCCTCTACAATAACGTACCCCATCCAAGCAAATTGGCTGTGGGAGCTGACTTCCATTGTTTTAAACATAAAATTGAGCCAAAATGGGAGGACCCTGTTTGTGCTAATGGAGGAAAGTGGACCTTGAACTTTTCTAGAAAGAAATCCGACACTTCTTGGCTGTACACGGTATGTGTAGCCCATACTTAATCTAATTCCAAACTCAAATCTGCCCTCTAATTTTTTTATTAGTTTTGCTTTAGTTGCTGGCACTAATTGGAGAACAGTTTGATCATGGAGATGAAATCTGTGGAGTAGTTGTCAATGTCAGACCTAGGCAGGAAAAAATAGCTCTGTGGACGAAGGATGCTGCAAATGAAACTGCTCAGGTAGTTGCTTTTGAACAAATAGCCTGTATTTTTTTCGTATGGTCCTATTCTCCTTAAATTATTTTGCATTCTCTATCTGTGCAATGCAACATGTGGCCCACAAAAGAACTGTTAGACTAAAGGTTGCATCTTTTGTCAATGGGGAAGAGCAAATAAAAGAAAACTTAGACCCATTAAACTATTAGGGATCAAGCTGCTTGTTAGATTGAATTGTTCTTTTCTCTTTGCTCTTCATGTCAACCAGTTGGGGCAGAACTAGCAGAAGATTAATGCATGTTATTTTCTCCTTTTTCATTTGGCAGCAAACACAAGTTGGTGAGTTGTTTCTAAGCCTAATGTTGTTGTCTAGTTTTATTTTACATGTATACTCGTGCTGGGATTCTGGTGTAGTGAATTCTGACAGTTACATAAAAGCATGCCTTCATGCACATGCATGCTCATACACCTGCAGTTTTATTTTTTCATCTTCTGACTTGCCAAAACCTGTTATAGGCATCATAGTTATTGGAAAATTCAGATTTCTGGTTCCATTGTTTAGTGTATTATGCTTGGTCACTGTTTAGTAATATTTTTCCATTTTTTGGACAATTCAAGAGTCAAACATCATAGTAGATGGAATGGTTCTAAAAATTGGCCGAGTCATCGCGTTCTGGCTGATTCAAACCCTATTTTGAAGTCCCTGAGTCGGATACACACTGGTATACCTGTGAGTGAAAATTGCTCCCGTACTGGCCAGTCTGCATCTCAAATCATTAAGGACCAGATTCAGAAGACGATAACATCGACAAGCTGGTCCGGTTTGACTGACTATCTTGTTTGGGTCAGACCACTATTTCAAATTTTTATGACTTTTTCACTGAAGAATGTACTAGCACTTTCTGTTCAAAATTACAATGTGGCTAGCTTTTTATCATAGGACAGGCCAACTGTTCGTATTTATAAAGGACATGCTAGGAGCACAGAGGCTTTATAATTGATGTGGGATAGCTAGCAATTGGGAAAAGATTAGGCGACTTGCATGTTTATATTAAGAAGACAAAAGATAAATAACTTTATATTGCTACTGATGTGGAATCAGTAATTTTTCTTCTTTGGATTTTGTTTTACAGTCTAATGCCAAATAGTCATCCATTTAATTATCATCCCTGTAAAATTCCATTTAAGATTTTTTGGGTACACAATTCCATTTGAGATCTTTCCATTTGTTATATTTTCATGAGTAAAAAGTGCTTCTATATATCAAAACATTGTTTAAGGCCTCAATACGGAGGCGTACCCCACGTAGCTTGGCAAACAGACAGATCTCAATACATTTCTAATGTCGATCCCCGATGGCTCACCTACATAAATATATATAAAAACAGAGTGAGCAAAGCTCAGTGGATAATAGCAATGTAAGGAGGTTAATTTATTGAGCATAGTCTTAAAGAGTGTAAATAAGCATATCAAATCATGCACAGACCTTATTCATAATTATATCTCAAAACGGCCTACGGCCTCCGGCCCACATGTGATATGGAACGGCCTCGGGCCCATATAAGATACAGAATGGCCTTAGGCCCACAGATAATACAGAACGGTCTCGGGCCCACAGATAATACATAACGGTCTCGGGCCCACATAAGATATAGAATGGCCTTAGGCCCATAGATAATACAGAACGGTCTCGGGCCCACATAAGATACAGAATGGCCTTAGGCCCACAGATAATACAGAACGGCCTCTGGCCCACATAAGATACAGAATGGCCTTAGGCCCACAGATAATACAGAACGGCCTCGGGCTCACATAAGATACAGAATGGCCTTCGGCCCACAGATAATACAGAATGGCCTCAGGCCCAACAGATTATACAGAATGGCCTTAGGCTCAGTTTTAGCAAAACAGAATAATCCCAGATTCATAAGAATACCATTACACAATAGTGTACATAGATTTCCCCATGGTTTATTACAAGTCGACATAGTTGTCTTGCGAATAACAGAACATTAGTAATAACTATTAACAGAAGGCAAATGTATCACTACAGTACTATTAATAGGGACAGAAGGGACAGAACAACCTTAGGTCCATATCAATGCCATTATTCAATCATATCCATTAATTTAGTCAAAGTACAATATCAATGGAATAGGCCATTCACAAGTAACAATACATAAATCATAATCATAGGAAGTAAGTGAAACATATCGTTACACTACTATTACTCACAGTGATAGGTTTCTGACAATGGTGGAACGATGTTCTCATCTTGACTGACAAACACAATGCACATAGAATCATAAGAAAATACCCGATTCCTTACGTTACTCTTTAATCAATTAATCATATCGGTTCTAAACTCATTAGTCTTTAATAAGTCATAATCCATGTCTCAGAAGATAGGAGGAATCGATAGGAAAAAGGTTCAGACGAAGAAATGGTGCAAAACCGGTAGACAGAAAGTGAGCAACTCTCACTAATTTGGACATATCTATTTCTGTACTTAGGGTTTGGGAGTGAGACCACCACCATTGAAAACTAGACTTCCGGGGCTTGATTTTAGGCTCAAGAATCACTCAAAACGGAGTCCGGATACAAAAGATATGCGTATTCAAAGTTGGCTGAACAGAGCTGTCCCCGCACATGCGGGAAACAGGGCCGCACGTGCGGGAATAGAGCCGCACGTGTGGGACTACGTGCCTTTTTAGCATAATCAAACTTGGTTTTAGGCATGGACTGCCACACGTGCGGGAAAGACCCGCCGCACTTGCGGCTCTGGGCAATTTTTGCAGTCCGAAAATGGTTTTTGCTCCAACACTTGGTCTTTTCATTTTTAAGCTTGGTTTCTAACATAAATCACTCAAAAACATGTAAAATTGCCCCATTCTTGCTCAATCTAAAGTTTATTTCATGATATCCATGAGCTTGAGCTCCACTCATAAACAAAATTAGAGAGCTCAATTTCTAATTCCTCAAATTAGCTCAAGTAAATACATAGATAAAACCTTATCCCCAAATGGGTTTAAATCTTCCAAGATCTTTATGATTCCACCAAATTGATACTTTAAACACAAGGTTTCAAGATAGATTATCATACCTAACTCAATCTTTGTCTATCTCTTAGCTCTCTTCAATTTCCCCCAAGTTTCCATGGGTGATCTTCTTTCTCTTTCTTCAATTCCCTTCAATCATCTTCAAAGCCACCATGGATATTGAGAAGCTTTGTCTCTCTTCTCTCTCTCCCTTTCACGGTTTCCTCTCTCTTCTTTAGATATTTTTAGGTTCCAAGAGATGAGTTCAACAACTCAAAGGCACATCTATATATATAAATATACACACACATAGGCTTAACACAATAAGGAGAGCCAAACGCGGCCTTACGAATCGCACGAAATCAAATTTCAATTAAACTTCCCAGGTGACTGATCATAAATATGTCCTCTGTTCTGGTTTTTGAAGCCTCTAAGGCCTTCAATTTGCAGTACCAAATTAACCACCCAAACGTGCATTAACGAATCAGACATATTAGATTTCCAATTAATTTTTCCAAATAGTTCTAAAAATTTCCATTAACATTTCCAAGTACTCAATTTGATTTCTGAACCCATAAAAGTCGGTAATTTCAATTTTAAAATCGTAACTCAACAGATAATTCTTCAATTCGAACATATATCATTAAATTAAAATACATTAACCCACAAGGATATAAAAGTAATTTCGGATACGGATTTTGGGATCGTTACAATCAGTATCTTCAAAATCAAATAATTGAAGAAATCATACTATACATTGAGGACAAAGACATGGGTTGGATGGTTGACCCATGGGAAACCAAAAAACTATACTTGGCCACCCAACATTTTCCTCCCCAGAATAATCTGTATTGCTATCTCTACGAGAATATGCACCGAAACTTTATTTGTTGATTTTACTCATCACTTTATTGATGAAAATTAGAAACATAGCGCCATTCGTTATAGCAAAGCAATTATTTGCAACATTATCAAAATTGATAAATGGGGCCTTCATCCCCATACCACCAGGACTTTATCTGTACAAAATCAAAAATACAATTATTGGGATTATATGGAAGCCTTTACTAAAGTTTTCTACTATCAAAACCCAATTAAATAGCATTCTTGGTTCATCAAGGTCTACCCTGACACTATCCGCACTGGTTTACCCAACTGGTTTTATGTTTGGTAGGATAAATCCGGCCCTTCCTTGGACATCCTACTTGACCCAGTTCGATCCGAATTCAATCTTGGCACACTACATATTCCCACACTAAAGGCAACTCTGATATCTCCATGTCCAAATCATTTGTGATCTTCATGATCTATTTCAGCATCCCTTGGATTTGGAGGTGGGATTTTAAATGTGACCATCAGAATAAGATCCCCCATTTAAAAAGAGTTTTCTTTTATAAATGGTGGACTAAGGGTCTTGAGCCCAAGCGATCCGAAGTAATCCAACAAATTAAAGTTAGCACCAAGTGGGGACTATTCCCAAACCTGCACTCAGCCTTCCATTATCAAGTGGCAATCCATTCATGCATATTCAAAGAGAGCTTAGAAAACAGTATCTAGATATCTTTGAAAAAGAATTAATGGTTAAATCTATGGACTTCATGGAAGAACAATTTTTTCAAGCCATTAATACCGAATCCAAAGACAATGTTTCCATGAAATCTGCAGCCAGCCAAGAGGAAGATGATAATGCATTCTCTATATTAGCGGGTGAATCTCATGGCCCCAATGAAGAACCAACACTTGGTGATTTTTGGGATTCTCTCACCGAAATGATTTTCAGAAAAAATAGACAAAAACTGGAAGGGTAAGGATAAGGTTTGAAACCTTTGAACCCTTTGCACCAGCTAAATAAAATACGCATTCCATGACGCATGCCATTGTAAGAATTCTGAAGAATTTTTGATATTCAATTGTATTTACTAAACAAAGAATACATCACTTATATAGAATACTAAATCCTAATCCTAAACGAATATATCACTGATA